ATCTCCATCTCCATCTCCATAGCGGATGCGCCAAATGAAATGTATATAATAATAACAAAAATAACAACAACATTAAAAAGCAGAGCACATGCCACAAATCACAAGTAACGTACAGTGCCAAACATTAGACACACAACAACCCAGGCAGCCACCGCATTGAGATCGACTCGCCATAACGACCGTCACACCAACAGCGTTGCCTGAGTATCAACTTGAGATCCCTTCGACCTCAGTCTACCCGATCGCACCTGCGCCTAATGCTCTAGTCCATTTATTCATCGCTCCCGACTGGCCGTAATATGCATTGGTCAGCATGTTAGCCGCGCGTTCGTTCATTTTTAGTTAGTCGAATCGCCCATTTACTCCGTCCGTTGGACAGCATTGCCAGTCTCGCTGTCAGTCGGTCTGTACCGCCGTTTGTTCATTTCTACCATTCACCCATCCGTTCGTCGATCCTCGCTATCTCTCCCTTTCTCTCTCTCCCTCCCTCTTTCTCTCCCTTTCTCGCCCATCTATTTCTTTTTGTTTTTTTTTATTCTTCTATCGACCTGTCCATTAATTTCTGACTATTAAGTCGCCTACTTAAAAATTCAAAACACATCAAATAGTTGAAAGAATCGGTACAGCATCCGCAAAGAGCTTGGTTAACGGAAGGAGTGCAATGCTGAAGCACACCAACAACATCCAAGTGACATAGCTAAAAGCTAATTAACAGCATCGTGCAGCAACGGTGGCAGGTAGTTGCAACCAAAAGAACGGTCACCAGCCTACTTTGGCTTACCAACGCCATCTCGCGAACGTATAACTCAAATATTCCAATGTTATGTGTTCAACCCCTCTACGAGAGGGACGGGAGCGTTTGAGAGTTTCAGACAGTGAGGTACGTGATCGTGTGTGAGTGTGAGTGTGTGTGTGCGCATCGTAAAGTGGAGCACTTTCTGGTGCATCCATCTCAACCGCGTTTAAATGGGAGCAGCATTGGATGTGTTTTCTGTTGCTGCTGTTAATGTTGTTGTTGTTTTAATGCGTTGCATTGCGTCTGCGTTGTCGTCCTGATCGTTGAATGGTGCGTGTAGCCATAAATAATCCAAGTGGCTGTCACATAAGCAAATAAAAAAAAAAACAAAAAAAAAAAAACAAACAAATAAATCGAAAAACTAAACCAGAACAGGAGCAGCAACAACAAAAATTAATAGACCACTCCACGGTTATGGAGAAACTTACGCACGACCGTGCATTCTACCATACAGGGTGTTACGAAGTTAGAAAAATTTTTAATGAAATCGTAGAAGCGCTCTTGATGCATTTTTAAGAGAGAGAGAGAGATTGAGTGAGAGAGAGTTGGAGAGTAAAAGAGTGAGAGGGAGTGAGGGAGAGAGAAGGAGAGGGGGTGAGAGTGCGTGGAAGCGTGAAGCAGATCACATCTCAAGGTAAAACCGATGTGTTAACGCCGCTTAAACCATCTGTTGGCCCGACACAATCACACAGGAAGACTATACCTGAAGTTAATGAGGCCCACCATTACGAAACTAAACTTAAAAACCAATTTCACCAAGCTGACACCCGTCCAGTACCTCAGAGATCCCGTCAAAGGAAACTTTTAAGGAAGGAAAGTTTAAAAAAGTTTTGACTGACTGCAATTTCAGATTTTTGTTTCTTGGCGCTTTGTCCCAGCAAAGCTGATTCTTCTTATCTCCGTACATACCACACTTCTACGAGGCAGCCAACACTCCGAGCATTCCATAAGTGGATTCGGAAATAATGAAGCACATTTCCCCACTCACTATTGAGAGCCCACTCCAAGGGAGAGAGAGATGTACGTATAGAAGTGAGAGATAACAGAATTCAACATGCAGAAAGGTGTGCAGTCCCCGTGCCAAACATAGTTTGTACTCCAGCTACGGTTTCTTTAAAACATAAAATAGTAACGTGGTACTCAGCGAGGTCTGCTAGAGCGGTAAGAGGCAGAAATAGGGCCTTCCTCTATAGAAAATGTGAGTTGATTTCACACATTTCGGTAAAGAAGATCTTTAAAAACTGCCTATGGTTGGTTGGTTGAATTATTTGTTGGTTGTTTGGTTTGTTGGTTGTTTGATTTGTTGGTTGTTTGGTTTGTTGGTTGGTTGATTGGTTCGTTAAAAGTTAAGGTTGAGGACCTGAACGCAAGCGGCCACAGCTAAGACGTAAAGCCCCACAGAACCTGACTCTAATTTGGCGAATATTTCCCTCGATTGAATAAACTGGTTTAATTTCTTCTAATTATATAAGATTCCCACCTCCATAGGGCTGGATCTGGGAGCAACGTGAACGATGCGGCGTCTGAATCGGCTTAAAGTCGCAAACTCGCAAAAGTAATGCCACAGCGTTTCGTCGTCTTCTCTGCATGCTCTGCACTTAGCCCGTTTCACCTTACATAGCTTGTGGAGATGATATCTCAGGGTTAGATAACCCGTCAATCTACCCACAACTAAACTAAGTTCTCGTTTATCTAAAATTATTGACTGTTTGGTCTGCTTGCAATCCACTCTGCTCCACAACCATTTGAAGGTACGTGCAACGATGAAAGGACCTCAAGTGGACCATGGAGTTCTATAAGCAACATTTTTAGGCGCTGAGCTGCATGCCTCACCTCTGCAACGAGGTCTTGTAGAAAACTAAAAGAAAAAGATTTTGAAACATCATAATATTTTCCACTCTGAGACACCCTGTATTTCAATCCAAGATCCAGCAGAGGCAAGCCTTAATTTAGTTTGTATTTGTTTGTAGGTATGTCCGTCCAACGGTCTGTCCGTTGCCGTCAATGAAGTCAGCAAGATTATAGAAAAATGTCCAATGAACATGAAATTTCAATAAACCGCGAAAGCGAGCAGCGAGCAGCGACCAATGAGCAGTACAGCTTGCCGCCAGCGAACGGCCCGCATTTGGCGAAACGACTGCCAGCAACTGTAAAACTGCGAAAGCGCAATGATTTCGCGATTTTATGTCGTCACCGTTAAGCACTCGTACGGTCGGCTACTCGCTCGCTCACTTGCACGGCATCGATTGGATGGTATGGTGGTGGTGGCGGTGACAGCTATAAAACCGAAAATGAATTACAAATAATTAAAATGTAAAAAAAAAAAGAAAAATCAAAAAAGCAATAACAAAAAATACGTGAAACCACAACAACAACAAAATACTAAAATAATATATGCAAGAGTCGAACGAATTTCAGTTGTCGCGCACTACATAACCTTATTTAAAACAAATGCAAATGCCAGCTACAACAACTACAACAGCATCAACACTCATAGCAACAACACTACATAAAATTGTAACAAGTCATGGCTGGCCATTTCAATGAAACCATAAAGCTCAGCAATTATTTTCAGCCAGCGAATGCAACACTGCACTGCAGCCACGAGTAAAGCTCTCTCTCTCTCTCTCACTCTTCACACCACCGCTCACTTCCTCGTGCTTGTAACATAAGAGCTGCTGCTGCAAAAAAAAGCATGCAGCTGTCGCTTGGAATTTATCGCTGCGTTCGATCGCAAAGGCATGGCGGGGCGCGTAGGCGATTCGATCGCGTTCGGGCCATTAGCGATGAGAGTATTGTGTGACAGTTGTGTTATCACTTTGTCAGTGACAACAACGACGACGACGACGACGACGACGCGGACAACACATAGTAACGGTAACATGTTGCATGCCACACCAAAAGCCAAACGACCATACGTCCGCACGATTGGCTGACAGCGCGGCAATTCTTGTGGCGGCAACAATAAAGTACAATTAAGACGATTGCTTGATTGAGGTGAGGGAAATTTATTTCAAAATCAAAGGAAAAAAGCCACGCTGCGTTACATTTTAAAGGCGAATTAAGATTACAGTGTTTATTTCTCTCGAAAAAAGACAATTAAATGCGATTTTAGTCCATTTAGCATGCCCACGCCAGCTGAAATATTTGCAGCCGCTGCGGGCATTGAGTTCACTGCTACTTCTCGAGCGAATCAGGTGGTTCTGGGAGTGTCTCAACGAAAAAACTTTTAGTCAACGGCTATGAGCAGTGTGGGAGTTTTAAAGTGGAAAATCATTAGACCACATTCAGTAGAGTTCATAGGTTAGTGGCTTAGCGTTTTAATTGGGTTAGGTTAGATTATGTAGACAGGCGCCACAGTAGCCGGAAGATCAGTGCTCGAGTCCTGGTTCGATCAACATCCACAATACGAAACCGATCTACCAACGATTGCAGAGAAGTGCGGATCACAAGTGATTCAAGTAGCTCTCAATCGTGTTCGTCCTTTTTCGCCCAATCACGCAAGCTCATCGGCCTAGCCGCCAATCACGAGAATACCTTGTTCTGAAAGCTTATAGAAGTCTAGTCAGCCGATAGCTTAGTGCAGCTTCCAGTATGAGACTTTGAAAAGTTAGAGCTGACGCTGACCGGTCTCGCCCTTCTCCTAGATGCTCGCGTGGATTTACTGAGCCGTTGTCATTCCACCTCAAAGTAAAAGATAGCATACTTCACATCACATGAGACACTGCTCCCAACCACTTTTAGTCATTGTACTTAGCGGGGTTGAAGACATAGAGGTCAAAACTATATCCACGTTCACCTCCACGATGTAGTTAATGAGTAAGACTTCTGCTCATCATACTTCATTAAGTCGTGGTGAGCAAATCGGTAGTCGGATCTCGGCGCGCTTAGCATGTACACTAAAAGTGGGGTTGAGCAATCGGCAGAGAAAGGGCAACACTGACATGGAGCCCCCAGTCATGATAAGAAGGCACAGAAATGGCAGACATATTAAGAGTGTGATAGTGATGCTCTGCGTTCTTCAAATTTAAAATTGAAAACACAATTTGAGAGCCTGTGTGAATGGAAGTGACGAAAAGGAAGCTTCAAAAGAGACATATAATTTACAACAATACAAAGTGAAATCCAGTAGTCACCGCGAAGAACTTAGTTGCATACTTAAATTCGTACATAAAATGAAACAAAGAAAGAACTCCTCACTTACCTTTGTAAATGACCCTCAACGCCCGGCGGCAAGCTTCCATCCGATACAATGTAGACGGGCTGTCCTCCAGCTGTGCCAGCGCCAGCATATTGCAGACCACCTTGCACCACCACTTGGCCATCGGCAACCAGGCCGCTCAAATCACTGCCCGAGTAAATCTCTAGACCCTTTTGATCGGTCGTTGTTGTATATATAACGGTTTTATTGCCATCATTATAGATCAAATCAATGTGTTTGTCTGTCGGATACATATCCGACTCCAGTTTCGCTGTGACGGGCATGTGCGACAATTGTTTGCCGGCATCCGGACCTGCCGTGGTATAGAGTATTTGTTGACCACCACCGCCACTACCCGGCGGCTTCTTCGGATCATCATATATATCCACCTCCGCCTTAACAACATTGTCCTGCTCGTAATGCTGCAACATTGACGCATCCAACGGCGACGTCTGATATACGCCATGATCATTAGCCATCTTTTGTGCCTGATTGAACATTGCAGCGGCCACGGCATTATCGCTTGGCATCAATTTGGTCGGATCGCTGACAATGCGTGTGAGTATGTGTTCGCCCGCCTCGTTACGTGACAGTATGTGATGTTCTCCATTGATTATTTCACGTGAAATAATTTGTTGTTGCTCGCCATTCGGACCAACGACGCGTATTATCTGATTTTCATCGAATTCAATCTTAGCCAACGGCTGATTATCGGTCGCCGCAGCAGCAGCGGCAGCCGCTGCAACAGCAGCCTGTTGTTCGTTCAATTGCGCAACCATACGGGCATCAATCACATGCTCATCATTGGTCACTGTCGCACCGGTGCCCACACCGGCTGGCAACACCACCTTCGGGCTTTCATAGATGAAGACGGCATCCTTGTCGTAGAGCTTCGAGGAGTCTGTATGAAGATCGAGTACGTTAACATTAGTCATGGTGGCCAACTCGGGCTGTGGACTATCTGGTGAACGATGCATGAGTGATAAACCGTTGGCGCCGGCGGCAGATGCGGCAGCGGAGGAGTTTGTCGTTACAACGTTGGTCACAGTGACACCGGGTGGTAGTGAGACACGTGTGGGAGAATTGTGTGTTTGTAGTTGTTGGTGTTGTTGCTGTTGCTGTTGCTGCTGATGTTGAAGCTGCTGTTGCTGTTGTTGGTGTTGTTGTATGGCAAGTTCGTTTGAAGTGATGACACTAGTCGTGGCAGGCGATGCGGACATCTTATGCTTCTTAATACTTAAGCTCGAGCACAAGGCACGCGTTCAATGTGTAGCAATAAAATGGAAATATCAAAGCTTTTTTTCTACAGCTTAAAGCTCTGCAAATGAACGTGTAACATTCGTGTGGCTAGCAAAATAGCTTACGGCAAAGCTTTCGAATTGAACGCTTTTTTAACTTTCAGTAGAGCTTTCACGTGCCCATGAATGCTTTCTGGTAGGTGATATTTTTTTTGTATTCACTTTGAAAGACTTTTGTTAAGTGCTATAATTTATTAAAAGCTCTGCTTTATTTATTTACCGTTATGGCTTGAATTGTAATTACGCTTTTCGTCAATTACGTTTATCGTTAATAATTTTATGTTTGTTTAGAACGTTTTTAAGTTGTATTTTTGCTTAAAATTAATATTTGCTGTTTTTTGTTTAGTTTTTAAACTTTTGGAAGCTCATTTCTTAATAAATAATTTCAATTTCTTAATTTTATTTTCCTTAATTTTAATTTTTTAATAATTTATTACTACGTGTTTTTGTTGTTAAGACGATTTTGTTGCTTTTGTGTTTTGTTTTGTTTTAATTTGTGTTTAAAGGCACTAAGAATCTCAGTATGTTTGGACGGAATTCGTTGCGTTGCGTTGCTTTACGTTACGTTATGTTACGTTATGTTACGTTTCAGCGGCGTTTCTTTGTTATTTCTTTATTATGTATGGCACTCGAGGAGTTTTGATTTTTCGCATTTAAAAAGTGGCGATAAAAGTTTAATTTGTTGATAACTGTGAAAGCTCTCCAAAATGAGCTTTCGTTTGGACAAATGTGGCATTCAGTGCGGCAGACGAGGTTGGAAGTTAACAAGCCTGAAAGAGAAGACAGAATATTTATTAAACATACAATTGAACGAAAGAAAGTTTAAAGGAAATTCATCATAAAGAAAATACCGCAAAATACAAAATAATTCTCAAAAAATTATGTAAATTACGAATATAATACAATTGAAGCTTTTTGAAGCCAATATCGATATTTCGGTCTTTGCGAATTCGATCAACCTCAAATCAATTGGGGATGTAAGGTAATGGAGTCTGAAGGTGCTTACTTTGCTCACCCTTTGCTGAAGATCGCCAAGCACAATATTGTGATCTGAGCGAGAGCAGCGTTCATATAGTTCTACTCCCCCGTCAGGGTGTTATCAAAAATCAGCGATATCTTGAAGAACTTCATTTTTGATACAGATTGTGACGAGGCATTCATCACCGACCGAATCAGCCTCCTCTTACGAATTCGAAACAAAATATGCACTCCTTTATATGGTCGCTGTACTGCATGTCACAAGAACCTACTCGCCTACGTCCTTGCCTTGTTTTACCAACCTTCTAACCTTCTGACAGCTGCTTACCCACATAACGTTGGGCTGTGGCCGTTATAGAAACCAGGGTCTCTCAGGCGAGGCTTTGGAGCTGCGCTCTACATGGCATGATGACCCAAATCCTTGGCACAAGCCCTCCCCTCAAGGTGGTTTAGTTTTTGACCAAATTTATATAGCGAACCGTTTTGCCTTAAAGCCGACGACAAACGCTGCGAAAAGACTCTGATGAACCCTTACGACAGATATGTCTAGGGACTGAAGTTTCCTGTCGTTTAGCCGTGATCCAGGGCGTGCGTCGAAGAAGCAAGAGTAGGAAATCGTTATAGTCTGCAGCAGTGACTATGTTGCCAAACATAAAACGTAGCTAAGCACCAAATGTGGCTAAGCACCAAATGTGGCTAAGCACCAAATGTTGCTAAGCACCAAATGTTGCTAAGCACCAAATGTTGCTAAGCAAATTTGGTAACCTTAAAATTTTGCTAGCATAAAAATTCACTAAAATAAACCAAAATTTTGCTAAACACAAAATGTTGCCAAGAATTATTTATTTATTTTTGTTAACTGCATTTCCAAACTCACCTGATTTAACATCGCTCTATACATACATAATATTTGGTTTAATTTTTTTCTCCACTTTAATGACCTTTTCGCGCCATACAACGCCACCCCACTGTTAACAATGGCGCTAAAACACGAGTCTAACAAAGCGAACAAGAGGAATGCGAAATAAATGAGCCAAAGCCAAAGTAGACAAGCAACTGAATGAGCGCAGCAGTAGTTGTTGGTAGGAGTAGCTGGAGTAGCTGGCAGCTGGTTGCTGAGACGCGCATGGTGGTCAAATTCCTTTGTTCTTGCTGGACGCACAAAGCGCCAAAAGAAGAGAGGTGCAGAGCCATAGCACCGAGTAAAAAGAAATATCATAATGCAAATAACCGAAAAGCCACTACCTACGCATGCAGCACACCTAGTGCACGAACTAACACAATGGCAATAGCAACAACAACCGTGCAGAAATATAATAATTACACTTTGTTTGGCCTGCAGGGTGTGGTGTGGCATTAGGTGTCGCTGCAGAGCGTCGAAGGACTGGAGACTGGACGTATTGGCGACAGTGTATGAGCTTAGCACGGCACGAAAAGCTCGTAAATAACAAACTACAGCATGAAAGTGCAGCAAAGACAACAACAAGCGACCATTAAAGTAGCAAAAGGCGACAAGAGCACAATAACAATTACAACAATAATAACAACTACATAGTAGTTATGTAGTTATGCTAAATAATTACGAACAACAAATGAAAAAGTATCACTAACAATATCAGAGTATATAGCAAATGGAAAAAAAACAGCAGCAAGCATGCACTAACAACAACAACAACAACAACGAAAGCAATATTGCAAGCCGCTAGAAGTTAAATATTCAAATATGTATGCATACAAACAAGGCCACAGGCGACAATGAACACTAAAGTTGTACTAGCAATAACAAAAAAAAAAGAAAAAATACAAATAGCAACAACAGCAACACGCGAAAACGCCAACAGACACCACTCAACAGTTATCAGTTCGAACGACAAGCCAACATTGTAAGCTAGTTAAAGTGACCGCAACAGCAGAAATTTGCATAGAAATACATATGTATGCATGTATGCATGTATGTATGTATGTATGCATGTATGTACCAACAGCAATAGCTGCAAAACTTTGCGCACGAACTGTATGCATGCAACAACAACGTTGCCACGACGTTGGTCCAGGCTCTTGTCGCTCTTGTCAACTTATTTATATGTGGACTACCGGCAACAACAACTACAACAATACCTTTTCCAACGCCCTTTTCATCTACTCGCCGCTTGCCATGACGGAAAATAAAAAAAAAAAACATGGAAAAAATGTAAAAAAAGTAATAAAAAAAAAATAATAAAAAATGTAAAAAAAATATAATAAATTGTTTTCAGCTTCCCAACAACACGAAAATTGCCTGAAGCGCTAAAGCACTAACACACACATACACATACACACATACACATAGACACATCTGCAGTCACGAACAAGCGCACACCCAAGCGGCTGCAGCGACACTGTTGGCATGTAAGTTAAGGAAAATATGCAAATAATTTAGAAAAATACCGTTATTAATGTTTGTGCCTAACTATCGTCGGAAAGAACTAGCAGCAACAAAAACAACAACAATGGAAAGACAATGGTAATTGCAGTAATAATTTATACGCGTGCAATTTTCTCATTTTTCAAAGTTTTATTAACTTTTAACCAAATGAATGGTGGAATTTATTTGATTTGCCTTTAACTCATCATTAATTTTTTTTTTTTTGTAACCTTTTATCTCTGACTTATTTTCGGATTTCAAAAACAAATTAAAAATATTTGGAAATAATTAATCAATTAATTTAATATTTCATAGAAGTGCTTGGCTATGCACGGCTCCACTTTTACATTGCATACTTTCAGGTGCGCGTTCATTTTGACTTGAGTAATTTAGCCTCTCATCGATTCAGTTTCGTCCTTTCCTTAGGAGCAAAAAAATTTATAGAAAAATATTTTTATATATATATGTATACATAAAATTAAAGAAAAATTTCAAAAAAAGTAAAATTAAATCCAACTTAAATAAAGTATAATATATATATATATATATTATATGTAAAGCTTTGCACTGAATGCCTGTTGAATCAACGCACAGCCTAAGTGGAACTGGGACTGATTTGCATGAAAAAATCTAGTTTATTTTTAAATCGTTTGATTTGCTTGATACTCAGTACACAAATTACTCCCTGCCTTAATTGGCATGTGGGAAGTAGGCCTGGGAACGATTCGATGGTTCGATTGTACGTTATGTTTGGAACTTATGTAGCTGGCTCTCTGCCAAGTTCGATATGTAGAGATCTGTACGAAAAAATCGTATTCATAATTTGTTTTGCGTTAATTCGCGGGCAACCCCTAGTATAAAAGGGGTTTAACAAAAGTTCGATCAGTTGGACTTTCATTTTGCTTTTGTTAAATCTGAAAATAACAAATTTTTTGCAATTGCATTATTAGTCTTTCTTTTAAATTTTAGAACGCTCGGCTGAAATGGAGACGCGAAAACACCAGATAGCGAAGAGTAGGTCAGACGAAATTACACAAACAACGCAAATAGTATTTCGCCATGTTATTCTCCTCGTGTTTCGGCGTAATTTACAGGAAATAAAAGTATTCACTGAATTCCCAATTGCATATGGCACAATTGCACCGTCGAACGAACTCGACCCATTCTTGAAGCGGATGGTGACTGGCGACGAAAAATGGATCACATACGACAATATCAAGCGAAGACGGTCGTGGTCGAAGGCCGGTGAATCGTCCCAAACAGTGGCCAAGCCGGGATTGACGGCCAGGAAGGTTTTGCTGTGTGTTTGGTGGGATTGGAAGGGAATCATCCACTATGAGCTGCTCTCATATGGCCAGACGCTTAATTCTACCATCTACTGCGAACAACTGGACCGCTTGAAGCAGGCGATAGACAAGAAGCGTCCAGAATTGGCCAACAGGAAGGGTGTAGTGTTCCACCAGGACAACGCCAGACTACACACTTCGTTGATGACTCGTCAGAAGCCACGGGAGCTCGGATAGGAGGTTTTATCGCATCCACCATATAGCCCGGACGTAGCGCCAAGTGATTACCACCTGTTCCTGTACATGGCGAATGCCCTTGGTGGTGTGAAGTTGAACTCAAAAGAGGCTTGTGAAAAGTGGCTGTCCGAATTCTTCGCAAATAAGAAGGGGAGCTTCTACGAGGAATGTATTATGAAGTTGCCGTCTAGATGGAAACAGATCATCGAATAAAACGACGCATGTTTTAGCTAAATCCGATCACTGTAACACTTTTTATAAATCATTGAATGAAGAGCAAAAAGGCGGAAGGGAGATATTTGACAACCTTATTATAATTCTAACAGTGGATAAATTGAAGACTTCAAATTTAATAAAAAAAATACTGTTTGACTTGGTAACCGCTGAGTTGATTTTCGGCCGAGCTCCCTTTCTGAATTGAGAGGAA